AGCTCTTTTCCCCACGTTTCAGTGGAATTGGAGTTAATGATTTATTAGTAAGTTCAGCAAATTTTGTAACAGCTTTAAGTTTAATAAAGTAAATCAATGTATTACTGAACTTACAACAATCAATAAATCCTTTGTTATCAGTAGGTTCTTTGATAGTACAGTATATATGATAAGAGGTTTTTATTTATAGTATAGTAGTCAGTATCTTACCGTTAGTAGATCTAGTCAATACAGACATTACATGTACAACTGATAGGACTAATAGTATGAATGAGAGGTTCATCTTCTCTTTCTATTTGTTAGCAGAGTATGGCTCTTTGTTTTGAGATGTTGTTGAAAAGTGTTAGTTCCTCCCAAGGTTATGTTTACATTCATATATCATAATCACTTTTTCTAGTGGCTTTTACTACAAATAACATTTACTTTCCTTAAGAGAACATCTACATGTAATAGGCCAACCCAGACTCTATTCCATACATCCTTTTACTCAAGTATTCATTATCATGTGTTTTGATATACTTTTTGTGTACTTGTGCGCCTTTATTTTTGTGTTGCACATCAGGTAGTGTACATAAAGAAGGATGATTATTATTATGGTCATGATATCATATCCTTGTTTAATCAGTATTAATGTGTTTATCATTAATCAATAGTGCGTTGTTTTGCTATACATATTATTTCATCTCCTTTCTTATTGTACATTGTAGCTTTGCCATAATACTGACCCTATGAAATTGAATAGTAATAATGATACACTGCATGTATTGTTACTCACTGGCCAAAGGAGGTTTGGTATTGTAGCATTAAATTTCAATTGATACGTTCCTGGTTGTATTGGGCAATATTTTTGAATTACATCAACAAAGAAGTCGCATAAATTAATTTTTTCATCAATGAAAGTAATATTAGTATAATTTTTGAAGTTATGTGTCAGTGTGGCATGCAGTATGCCCCATTCTATTGTTCTCTCTACAAATGGACTCTGGTTTATGTTATAATCATTATCACTCACTGATCTGCAGCAATCCTTGCCAGTAGCTTTTTTCCCCACGTTTCAATATCAATGGAGTTAATGTTGCATTAGTAAGTTCTGCAAATTCCTTAGTAACTGCTTTAAAATAATAAAATAAATCAAAAGAGTATTACAGAACTTACAACAATCTGTGAATCCTGTAGGGTCTTGTTTATGATAGTGTAAAGCTAATTATTAGGCATAATTATTATCCATTAGTATAGTAGTCAGTATCTCACCATTGTAGTGATTGTTAGTAGATCCAGTCAATGTAGATACTACTAGTACAACTGATACGATCATCAATAGGGCACTCATCTTCTTGCTTAATAGTGTTTTTGCTGTTACGTGTGAAAGTAATATTATTATTGAGTTCTGTTTATTAAAATGTATTCAAGTAATGTGTACTTTTAATGTTTACTTTTATTTAAAGTAACCAAAACTATTGTGCATGCAGTGTAGAGCGTATTATACTTTTTGTTGTACTTTGATCTATAGTAATGTCTTGGAATGTGTGAATAGCTTCAAGAGTCTTAAACTGTGGCTAATAATTAGTATTGCTCTATTTTTTATATTGTTTGATGTTTGCACATGACACTACTTTATTTCACACACCGTATATCTTAGAGTGACTTTTAATTGCTGGTACTTAATTTTGTGATTTTAGCACGAGGTAGATTTTGCTGGTATTAAAAATTGCGATTAAGTAATTATTGATAATAGTTATATGGCATGATAATATCATTATTAATAATTGCAGGTATTAATAATTGCAATTTTGAACCCAAACACAAAATTTGCAATTAATTGTACATGTATTTAAAAGTAACCTTAAGGTAATAACTATTACATTATGAGTTGTTATTTTTCAATATTAAATACTGTCATTCCACAAAATATTTCATTGCTACTTTCATCATAAGCGATGACTTTAAGACAATACTTGCCCTATGAATTAGAGTAATTATTTTAAATAATGTATTGTTACTGACTGGCCAGAGAATTAGTGGTGATGGAATTGTGCTATTGTATAATCCATGATATATTCCAGGTTTCAATGGGCAGTACACACCAGACTCACCAGTAGCAGTCAGAGAAGATATAATATCACAAAGATTATACTTGGCGTCTTCAATAGCAAGATTTATGATATTTTTGAATTGATGTGTCATTGTTTGATGGAGCGTACCCCATTTCAATTCTTTCTCTAAAGGACAAATACACATGTATTAATTGAGCAATTGATTATCTTCATTACTTAATTTTATGATTCCTCTGATAATGTAGTTTTGTCCTGGCTTAACTGTTTTTCCAAATGTATTTGATGTTACATTTGTTATTTCACCAAAATCATGAGAAGTAGCTTGCATGTTATGTGCCAGAGAAAATACATCAAAATAATGTAGTGTATTACTGAACTTACAACAATCCATGTATCCTTTATCAGCAGATTCTTTTTGTTAATTCAAGCAAGCATATATATTATTATCTATTAGCATTGTCAGTATCTTACCATTGTAGTAATTGTTAGTAGATCCAGTCAATGTAGATACTGCTAGTACGACTGACAAGATCATCCATCGGGCATTCATCTTCTGATATGTTGCTCTCAATGATGTGTCTTAAAGTGTTTGCTGTTATTCTTTTACTCAAGTTATATTGTTCACTTTGTAGTGTAATGTTTGCACATGCTTCACCTTCTGCTGCCTTTTTAGTTAAAATAACATTAAGTTTTAGTGCCATTGTTTATGCCTTCAGTAAAGTATGTATAAACTAGAACTATTGCTGTTGAATGCTGCTATGGCTAATTAAAATTTTTGATGACTTGCATTAGGACCAATCAGGCAAAAGTGCCGAGTTTAGTAGATATTTCGTTTTTTCCAACCATTATTTTTTAAAATCTGGCACCAAGTTCATTATAACATAACCATCACTAATTATTTTTTAAAATAATTTTATTCATGTATGCGCGCATTGAGGTAATGAGCCACGCCCATTTTAACTAAGAATTCATAGATGGCAAGTGAGCCTGAGGTTGTTCTCGAGCTAAAAGTGGAGAGAGAAAGGAGCAGACTTGACTTGGAGGAGCTAACAAACCTATTGGATGGAGGAGCAGTGTTTACTGACAAAAGAAGAGAAATGGGTATGATATTTGGAGTAATGAAATAGGCTCAGTATCTATCCTATGTTTTTAAAATAGTTAAAATGGTAGTGGAGGATCCAGTATTTAAGAGAGACAACAAGTATTTTTTGTCTTCTGAGGAATCTTTTGACTCTGCAATGAGGAAAAATGTTCATTACATTGAATTATTAAAGTCAAAAAAGCTAAATGAAACTAATGCCAAAGCCTATGTTGAAAGGTATTTGGGTATAATACTACTAGATTGCATTATGATAATTTTAATCATTTTAGTGCAATAGATGATGACTTCCCCGCATTGGTTCATGAGTTAATGTTTGTACCAACAATTGAAGTAAGCAACATACATGAAGAAAAAAGTTCACAAATCAAATTTATAGTTTCATGTGCTAGTAGTAGTGTATAATACATTCTTAACATAATAGGGTCAAGGCATGA